CTTTTTTCTTAAACCCTCAACCATTTTTTCATAAACCCTAAATGCTTCTTCTTAAACCCTAAACCCTTCTCCTCAAACCCTAAACCCTAAACCCTAAACCCCCTAAACCCTTCTCCTCAAACCCTAAACCCTAAACCCTAAACCCCCTAAACCCTTTTCCTCAAACCCTAAACCCTCTAAACCCTAAACCCCTAAACCCTTTTCCTCAAACCCTAAACCCTCTAAACCCTAAACCCTAAACCCCCTAAACCCTTTTCCTCAAACCCTAAACCCCCTAAACCCTAAACCCCCCAAACCCTGCTTCTTAAACCCTAAACCCCCTACGCCCTGCTTCTTATACCCTAAACCCTTCTTCGTAAACCCTAAACCCTTTTCCTCAAACCCTACGCCCTTCTTCTTAAACCCTAAACCCTTTCTCTTAAACCCTAAACCCTTTTTCTTAGACCCTAAACCCTGCTTCTTAAACCCTAAACCCTAAATGCTAAACCCTAAACCCTTTTTCCTAAACCCTAAACCCTACTTGCATACTCTTCTTCCCCCCCGGCAGCAAAAAACCACCGAAGGCCAATGGCCACCTCCCCCTAACCCTAAACCCTAAACCCTCAAAACCCTAAACCCTAAACCCTCAAAACCCTAAACCTTAAACGTCAGCAGATCATCGTCTGCCTTTAAAATTCATTTCGTTCTCCTCACTATCGCAATCCCCTGGGGGCCCCCCAGGTACCCCCAGGGGCCCCCCAGGTACCCCTATTGGGGGGCCCCCCAAGGTACCCCAAGGCGGCCCCTAGGGGCCCCCTTGGGGTACCTAGGGGCCCCCAAGGGGCCCCCAAGGGGCCCCCCTGTACACCTCTCTGTGTACAGGTTTTACCCTAGCGGGTATTCATGGTGCCCCCCTTGGGGGCCCCCTAGAGCTTTGCCCCCTGAAGGGGGCCCCCCGGCAGTGTCTGAGGCCAGGGTACGGGCCCCCCCTGGGGGGCCCCCGGGGGGCCCCCCAGGGGGGCCCCCCGGGTTTGTTAGTAAGAGTAAGAGCCCAAGGAGGCATCAGCGTGCATGCGTTTACATCCTCAGGCAGGTAGGGGGGGAGGCCCCCCGGTGTGTTTCCTAAAATATTTTTGCGGCCGAAGGGTGTGGGGGCCCCCGCGGTGGGGGGCCCCGGTAGTGCTGCTGCTGCTGCAGCAGCAGCAGCAGCAGCAGCAGCAGCAGCAGCTACGTCGCTGTCTTCATCTAATGCTGCTCTTGCTGCTGCATGCAAGCGATGCTGCCGCAGCAAGTCTCCTGCTGCACTACCAAAAGTTATTGTGTTAGCTAAGCGAGATAAACGCTGCAGGTCCTGCAACAAAACCCTAAACCCTAAACCCTAAACCCTAAACCCTAAACCCTAAACCCTAAACCCTAAACCNATATATATATATATATATATATATATATTAATTAATTATATAGTATGAAATCAATATAATAAATAATACAGAGATAAACGTAAACCCTAAACCCTAAACCCTAAACCCTAAACCCCACCAACACAAGACCTGTAAACCCTAAACCCTAAACCCTAAACCCTAGAAATCCTGTATATAGATAAACAACCCCCATAATTAAACACAACTACTTTAGGGTTTAGGGTTTAGGTATAAGGGTTTACACTCTACAGCTTCCAATCTAGGGTTTAGGGTTTAGGGTTTAGGGTTTAGGGTTTAGGGTTTAGGGTTTACTTGTGCTGATGCAGGCTGGGGTACCTCAAGCTGTAGATATTCTTGCAGTGCAGCAGCAGCATCTGCTTCGTCTATAACTAGCTGGGGTTTAGGATTAGGGTTTAGGGTTTTTATAAACCCTAAACCCTTGCTGCGGCTGCTAGCCACACCAGCCCCTCTATATTCAACTATCTCAGCAGCAGAATATAATAAACGCAAACACTCACCTGATACATACACATAAACCCTAAACCCTAAACCCTAAACCCTAAACCCTAAACCCTAAACCCTAAACCCTAAAACATGATCCATACACATAAACCCTAAACCCTAAACCCTAAACCCTAAAAACATGATTCATACACACAAACCCTAAACCCTAAACCCTAAACCCTAAACCCTAAACCCTAAACCCTAAAACATGATTCATACACACAAACCCTAAACCCTAAACCCTAAACCCTAAAACATGAAACATACAACATACAACCTAGGAGATGAAACATAAACCCTAAACCCTAAACCCTAAACCCTAAAACATACACCATACACCCTAAGAGCTGAAATATAAACCCTGAAACGTAAACCCTAAAACATAAACCCCAAACCCTAAACCCCAAACCCTAAACCCTAAAACATAAACCCTGAACCCTAAACCCTAAACCCTAAACAGAAAGCATACAGCCCGCAAACCCTAAACCCTAAAACCCTAAACCCCAACGCAGCACATGCTTCTAAACCCTAAACCCTAAACCCTAAACCCTAAACCCCAAACCCTAAACCCTAAACCCTAAACCCTAAACTACGCT